CCGCCACCGTAGCACAGCCCTCGAGGCCCGTGGCCAGCTCCGTGTTGCCATCAGCACCCCCACCCCAATGCCTTAGGTGCCCCGTGCTGTGGACACATCACGCCACACCCCTGAACCCCAGCACCCGCACCCCCAAGCCTGTGGTCACACCGGCCCCTCTTCCTGGAATGCCGGCACCCCAATCTGTGGGGGAACGTTCCTGCTCCTCTCCGGCAGACGAAGGCCCTGCCCTTCCTCTGGGACCCCTGGCCCCTGGGTTCGAGTTATAGCGCTCTAGGTCGAGCGGCTGTCCCGAGCGGTTGTTTTGTTTTAATGTCCGAGTCCCCAGAGAGTTTGAGTTCCAGGGTTGAGGCCCAGCAGTTGTGGGTGTCGCCTCACAAAGGAGCTGGAATGGAGCAGGGCCCTAACACGCTTTGGGGTGTGGAGTTAGGATGCTCGGAGCCTGCGTGGGGGGCGGGCTTGTCCTGTGGGCGGGTCTTCGGCTCTTGAGTGACACCGGCCTGGCCTTGGGTTCCTCGGTTACACGGCTTATCCGACATGGAGCTCCTCTGGACAAATAAGCTTTAAAATGCAGATGAAAGGTAACTGCACCTGCTCAGACGGCTGTACAAGACACGGCCCGTGGAGCTGATGGCTGTTCATAGGCGACAGCCTGTCGCGTGCTGTGGTCACACATCCACGCGGTGGCCTCTCAGGGTTAAGCCGATAACAGCCACGGAACGGGGAGGGCTGGGTGTGGCTGGGCGGTGCGCCCGGGAGCAGGTTTCTGGCTCAGAGGGGACCGGCTACGTCGGTGACGACTGACCATGTGAATTCACGCTGTAACCTGAGTTCATTTTCGTTTACATGCGTTTATTTACATGCGTTTATTTAACGTTAAAGCACGCGGCCTGAAGGGACCTCTGATGGTCACTTCTCCGGCTCTTCACCCGCAGGAGCCACTGAGGACTGTGCCCTCGTGTGCCACCCTTCACGTGGGCACCCTGGGGGCGGGCTGACCTGTCTGAGGCCTTCCCCCCTCCCTCCTCTTCTTCAGCTGCTCATCAATTTGTAAATTATGTTTTCATTGATTTCAGAGAGGAAGGGAGAGGGAGAGAGAGAGAGAAACATCCACGATGAGAGAGAGTCATTGATTGGCTGCTTCCTGCACGCCCCCCCACTGGGGATGGAGCCCGCAACCCGGGCCGGTGCCCTGACCGGGAATCGAGCCGGACCTCCTGGTTCCTAGGCCAACGCTCAGCCCCTGAGCCGCGCGGGCCTGGCAGCTTCTGGCCCTTTCGTACCCTCCACCCCTGCTCCTAGGCCTCGGTGAGAGCCTCTGTGACAGCGATCTCCCTTTCCTAGTTACCCCCCACCCCCCATTCAGCCCGACTCCCAGGGGAGGGGTGCACCTGGGGGATGCTGCGTGTGGCACCGTAGCCCTCCTGCCTGTGAGCTGGTCCCCGGGGCGACAAGAGCAGGCACCGTGGCCCCTCACAGCCCCGCTGAGAGCAGAGGAGCCCCCAGAAGGGACCACAGCTGTGATTCGGGGTGCCCCCCGGACTGTTCCGGGCAAGTGGGGGAACCTCTTTCTAAAGTTCCTCGGGGAGCACAGGACTTGCCCAGGCCCAGGGGGCGTCCTGGGGCCGGTCGCCTTCAGGAAGGGGCCTCTGAGGAGCCATCGTGGTGGTTTCAGGGGAGGAAGCGCACAGGGCGGGGCTGCCCGGCCTTCTGGCCCCGGTGCAGG